AAAGGTGACATGATGCATTAGAAAAATGCATGTTAAGCCTGACCTAAATAAATCTGTTCCTCTTTAATATCCTGATACTCCAGTTCAATGACTTCAGCTCCATACACTGGAACTAGATAAATAGAATAATTGATTTGGCTCATGAAAATTAATTCATTGTGTATGTAACTATGATCTAATCATATACTTACTTTTAGTGACTGGCACTAACTGCTTCTCAGTTTCCTGCAGTTGTGCTTCAAGTTTTTGTATTATTTCATCTTTTTCCATAAGAGCAGCAGCAGTAGAGACTAAAAATAAGAGTATTATACATTATATGTATAGCAATGGAAGCACAATTAATGTACAATGTACACCGTATAGCTCAAAATTTTAGTTCATCTAAATTTTCGTCAAATTCGTCAGGTATTTTTATTTGACAAAATTTTTAACTGACAAAATTTTTGTTACTCATGGGTAGTATGCAGATTAATAACAAAAATTACAAAACTTTTTTGACAAAAATTAATTTTGACAAGAAATCAAGATTTTGACAAAACTTTTGATTGATTAAAATTTTTAGCTGTATGGTATTAATTTTTCAATGCTAAGGTGATAGCTATAAACTTATAATCATGGACTTAATTTTGTTTTTGCTTTACTGACCTGACAGTGATTTAGTCTCACGTAGTGCTTCCTGAAGTGATTGGTTGTCATGACGTAATGACTCAATGATACCTTTAAGCTCCTTCACTTTATCTGTTTCATTGCTAAATTGATTCTGCTCACATAAATATTTCTCTTTATCTACAATTTCTTGATCATCTAAACAAAACACACCACAGTCCATACAGGTACAAAATTTACAAAGTTAAATTCTAAAAATTTCTAAGCAAATATCATGATACTAGATTAAAAATTAAAATCCAGATCAATAAATTGTGTGGTTGTATGTGGTATACTTACACTGAACCCTACAGCATGCATGCAGTATGTGCCAATAATCATTACTGTTTTGCTAAAGTCTTTATATGCATACTGACTTTTCTGAGAATCGAGACTTTCAATTTTTACAGCAATACTTTCATACCCATTTTCCCTTAGTGTGCTTATCAGAGAATACTTAGTGGGATTTTCTGTTTGTCCTTCCCACAATAGGAGCATCCACATCATTGCTTTCTTCCTGCTGTCATCATCTTTTCGACTAATCAATAATTTACTGTCGTCAATGTTCAGTGCTTTTTTAAAGGCATCAAAATCATATTTGTTTGTAATAATACTAGAAATTTCTTCAAATTTCAGTAATTTATCTAAAACCATTATATTAATAAGCAATAACTGAATTGACACAAACTTTCATTCATTCTTGCTTCACTACCTTTGCTTAACAATTCACACTACATAAAAAAACAAGATGCACAATATTAAATGCACAGCTCAATTTAGGTTGTATTATTATGCTATTATTATTATTTAGTTTAATACCTGCATTGCTGCTTTGCTCCAGCATAATCTGAAATTATTTTCAGCTGAACAAGCATCACAGAATTGAGGCTCACGATCAAAATAAAGAAAATGACAGGCATTTTTAAAAGATGCACAGGGAACAGCAAAGCTGTATTTGAGGTCACGT